GGCTTCGGCAGTTCGGGACGGAAAAGGCGAACGGGTATCTACAATACCAGCTTTCGTAACAGAAGGTTTAGTTACATTATATGATAATATATTGCATAAGCCAGCCACAACGTCTATGTACACCATTCTTGGCAGGTCGTACTCTAGCAGCTAATGCCTGCCCTTATGAGTTCAGTCCACTTACTTGGAAACTACTTCCTCCTGGGACTCTCTGCAGGTCAAGGCTAAATAGGATCCTGGAATAAGGCACCTGTGACAGGCTGCAAAACCAAGGAGTTGGCCTGGACCTGCCAAGAATGGGGTGCATTGATGTTGTGGAAGGCTTTTGCAATATATGATCATATAATGTAACTAAACCCCCATTATTTTTTGCCTAGGTGAGGTGTTTAAATAAAAATATTATAATCTGTGAGATTTTAAATCATTGTTTATTGAAAAGGCAAGTGCACTGGATTGTGTATTTTGTATGTTATATATATATATATATATATATATATATATATATATATATATATATATATATATATATATATATGTTATTTTGTGTGTCCTGATGAAAGTCCTAAATTAGGGACTGAAATGTCTACTTTATTTTTTAAATTGCAGTGTGGCTGGGCACCCGGTACCATTGGCTGGAGGCAGGAGTGAAAAAGAGGGGAAAAAAATTCTCTCTCTATATATATATATATATATATATATATATATATATATATATATATATATATTATTAAATCACTGTTTCAATGTCCTATGAGTGCACCCTAGATTTACTATTTATATATATGCAGTATAAAATATATAATATATCAGATTTATATATATTGTATTTATTAAATATATAGTATATAAATATAGATTTCCTTTATAAACTCCTCCTCCTTTTTTTGGTCCTTATTGGTCACTTCTAAATTGATCTGTGCATAAAGTCAGCACGTAATGGCTGTCCCCTGACCACTGATGATCTGTTTTTCTATAATATACAAAATTTTGTTTTGGAACCATGGACAGAACTCGCAAAAAAAAAAAAAAAAAAGTTTTATTTGTTTCATGCTTTGATCACATGGCCATTCGGTCACCATTCACCCAAAATCTGGACAAATTGCTATTAGCTTGAAAATAAATGCACAAGTCTCATATTTAGTTATGTAAAAATGTCAAATACAATATTAATGTAAATATAAAATAAAGCGAGTTAATCAAACTAGAGTATAATAAATGGCCAAACCATTTTTCTCAAATATATAAAAATTTTCAAGACACCCGAATTTTGACCATATGCTAAAAACCTGATTTGAAAGTTAATTAGATGAACCAAAAGGAGCAAAATTGGACCAATAAGTATGCTGCAAAATATCCTCATAATATAATATTTTTCCATCATTTGATTCATATATTAAAAAGAAAAAGTAACCTATGGGGAGAAAAGGAGGAGTAGAAGCTATATTTATTTATTATATACCTTTTACAATATATAAATATAGGTTATTATATTTTAAGCCTCCTCATTTTTTCTCATGGGTTGCTAACTTCTCACTTGATCAGTGAATATAATCAATATTTAATAAATGTCCCCTGGCCATTAATCATTTTTTTTCCCCCTCAATGTTTTTTGTTTTTGGTGCTACAGACAGAATTCAGAATCTGAAATCAAAGCCAACATATCCGGCCATTGCGTGGCTTGTTCGTGATTCAGGCACATTTCGCCTCAGAATTTGGGAGCTCGGCAGATCACCTGGTTTGGCGAAATTTCATATGAATTACACTTCAGATTGAAATGTTTCTCTAAATCTAATACTGAATAACCATCAGGCCTGTTTTATAGGAGGTTTTATATATTTATAATTTCTGTATTGCTTTTTAAGACACAATGAAAGATCTTTAAAAGTCCAAAATACTCTTGTGCATGGCTCAGCTTCATTAAAAAAATATTTTGCTCAAGGAAACATGTTGCATTGAGCAAATTAATCTTGTCATATACCACAATATGATTTAAAACCATTATTTTCTACGTGTGTCTAGTTCAATACATTTAAGACACATCCTCTACATCAACACATTTTTAAGTGATTATAAAACTCACTCTGAAAAGTCTAATTTGTCAGAGTGCTTGAAGGAAACATTCATTTATCCATTTGCAAAGTTTATACGTGTATTTGAATCACCAAATTTATTGTCATACAACCAGTTTTGAGACTGTTGTCATTATAGCATCATAAACTATTTATCTAATGTGTTTCTTTGTTAAAATGCTTGCATATTTTATGTTTTAGAAAGTCGGTTTGGTTTACAGTACACGTAACTAAAGAATTATGAAACAATTGCCAAACATTTAAAACAAGTAAATGGGTTCCAAACACATATGGTGCAAAATGTTGGCTAAATTGCAGTTAGTCATGCTCGGTAAGTTTTTATTTTTTTATTTTTTTTTTTAAATCAGTATCCTTTAGTTTTATTAAAAAAAAATTATTTTATTTTGAAAACATAAAATGTGTTCAAATTAGACACTTAATTTTATGAATAATATAGTGTGATCAGCAGCTTTAAACACTCTATAGGTACTACCCAAAAACCTATGCAAAAAAAAGATACAAAAAAAACTGAACTCAGTGTTTATGTGACAAACCACCTTTGAACACACAAGTGATGAGTGAAGAGCTTAAAATTAAAAATAGCACTTACCCCTTTAAATCTTGGAGTAATAAAACAAAAAGAAAGATAGTGTGATATTGTGGTAATCCAACAGTACAGATATAATAACAGATATTACACTCACGTTATTTTAAGAAGCTTTTTAAGCAACCAGGCTCTAAGATGTGAGCAGGGCCGGCACAACCAAAAAGCGGCATAGGCGGCTGCGGGATGCAAATGTCCTGGCGACCAGCAGAAGGTAAGTGAAGTGCGCTATTCTCCTGTCGGTCATTTTATATAGCGTGGCCATCTCCAGGCCCGACGCATGGGCCAAAAAGAGGAAATCAAGGAATCTCAGTGTCTGGCCCCTAGTTTCTCTAGCGCCAACCCAGGAAGGAGGAGGATGCTTCACTGCCACCCGGAAGAGGGGTAGGAGGGTAATTTCCCTCCTACTGTCAGTGTGTTGCTCTGACACATTCCCTGGCGGTAGTGGAAGGAGCCTCCAAAGTTCACGCAAATGTGCGTGTGACGTCACAACATCGATGCACACGCACGTTCTGTGGTCAGAGGCCAATCACAGCCCAAGGAGGTATATTTAAAACCCGGAATTTCCCTAGTTCGTTGCCCTATTGTGGTTTCTGTTCCTGGTTCCTGAGAGTGCGTTTTCTTGTCCTTCTTATTGATATTCCCGGTATTCTGACTTTGGCTATTCCTGACTATTCTGATCTCTGGTTTCCCTGACTTGGCTTTCTTATCGATCTTGTATATTTCTGGCTTCCTTGACCTCGGCTTTCACTTGACCATTCTCTGTTTTTCAACATATTAATCCAGCCATTCTAAGGACCGGTTTACATTCTGTCTATTTTTCTAGTCTATGTAGATGTTACATAGTTTTGCGTGTTGGATCACATTAGTAGTCGTGACATATGCCCATTGGTCCAATATATAGATATTCATCTTGCATGGTTGCATAGAGAGGGCCTCACCTGTCACTCCCATAACATCTTCTGCCTTAATTGTCATTAGAGGCCAACACCCTGCCACAAACTTCGGTAGCCACAAAATTCCCTCAGGCCATCCCATAGTTAGAGCCTCTCAAGCCACTTGGCAACTAGCAGGGCCTCACCTGTCACCCTTTTAGTGGAATTTTTCCGCCGCTTGGCAATAGCTAGTCTGCCACTACCAGTTAGGTTTCACTCTAATGGTTATTTTATATTTCAGTATGTCTCAGGTTTCCAAAGTTGCAGAGGAACTGTCCCTTTCCAGCACCCCAGCTAAGTTTGGTACTCCTTCCCGCAGGGCGGACACAAATAGTCCATCTTCCCTCAGATCATGGACTATTCTGCATATCACTGCTGAGCTTCGCAGAAGGAATATTCCATTCCCGGCTACTGCCAGGAAAGCAGAGTTGTTTAGGCTTCTGAATACCACCTCGACAACTCTGATGCCGAGAAAGGGTTTAGTGGTTCCCAGCTGCCTGATGTCCATGCCATGATGACCTCGTTGTTATCATCTATTGGCCTAATTAACCCCTTAAGGACGGAGCCAATTGTATAAGTTGTGATCAAAACAAAGCGTAAACAAAAACTGGAATTTGCTCTATATGTCTGTTAAACATAATTCAAGTCTTTCATATTAAGTGAGCCCACACTTATTATATATCATTTTGTTCAGGAGAAACAGGGCTTTAATTGCACATGAACTATTCATATATAAAACATAATTTTTTATGTTTTAGTTCTGCGTGGCATTTTAACTGTGAATGTCATAATGCTGTTAGTTTTTACTACAATAAAATGCATTACATATTTGTGTTCAGCGATGTCTCACAAGTACAACAGTACTCCCCATGTACAGGTTTTATGGTGTTTTGGAAAGTTACAGGGTCAAATATAGCGTGGTTCATTTTTCAGTTTATACACATTGAAATTTTCCAAACTGGTTATTTTGCCTTTGACACTGTATCGTAGCCCAGAAATTGCAATTACCCCCATGATAGCATACCATTTGCAAAAGTAGACAACCCAGGGTATTCAATATGGGGTATGTCCAGTCTTTTTTAGTAGCCACTTAGTCACAACCACTGGCCAAAGTTAGCATTTATATTTGTTTGTGTGTGAAAAATGCAAAAACTGAATATGAACGCTAAATTTGGCCAGTTTTTGTGACTAAGTGGCTACTTAAAAAAGACTGGACATACCCCATATTGAATACCCTGGGTTGTCTACTTTTGCAAATGGTATACCATCATGGGGTTAATTCTTTTCCCTGGGCTACCGTATGGTCTCAAATGCAACATAACCAATTTGGCAAATGTCAGCACAGAGTGTAGTGTGTGAACTTGAATAGAAGTCTATTGTGTGTCACTGTGCATGAATGTAGGGGTATATTTGTGTTGTATGTATTTGTCCATGAATGCATGGGTATATAAATATTTGTGAGGTATGTATTTGTCCATGAATGCAGGAGTACATTTTTGTGATGTGCCTGTATGCTTGAATTAACTGGTATATATGTGTGTGATGTGTTTGTGTGCATCAATGAGTATTATTTTTTTGTGTTGTGTCTTTATGCATGAAGGCAGGAGTATAGTGTATTTGTGTAGCGTGTCTGTGTACATTAATGCAACATAACAGTATGCTGCCTGTCTGTAAATAATCTGCAACAGTGATGTTAAAGAGATACTGTCAGAAAGAAATGTTTTACTACTGTATTTTACCAAAGTAAAGCATTATCAGTAAAATAAAGCAAATGTTTTCTTTTTGCAGCGAAACATAAAAGTGCTTCTCCAATATTGAGACTCAAGATACCAGGGGTACCAAAGTGCAGTAACATGTTTACTGTCTCCATAGATCCCTTGCAGTAGATGAGTTCAGTCATCTGCAGTTAGGGTTAGATGGCAGGACTAGCATGATGGTTGCATACTCTACTCTGTGGCTGACTGCTGCAAATGGCACTGGCGGAACATATCCCATCACTTACTGCTAGTGTGGAAAGCGTTGTGACTCCTCTAGCTTCTCTCATTTACCTTAAATTCCATGCATTCATGGTAAAATTCTAGAATTCCACAGAGTCCATTGAATTAGCATTCAGGAGAGCAGGATCTTCTGTCCAGTCTACCCAAGCTGTAGTACAAACACAGCAAAATAAACTGTAAGCAGTTTTCTAGTAACTTAGGTAACTTAGGGCAGGGGAGCAAAAGAGGGCACATAAGAGGAGATGAGCTAAAGGGGAAAAGAGGGCACAGAAGGTGAAGGGAGCTAAAGAGTGCACAGAAGGGGAAGGGGGCAAAAGAGGGCACCTAAGGTGATGGGGGGCTAAAGAGGGTACAGGAGGGGTGTACAAGAGGGCACATAAGGTAAAGAAGGGCTAAAGAGGGCACAGGAGAGGAGCAAAAGAGGGCACAGAAGAGGGGGCTAAAGAGGACACAGGAGGGAATATGAGCTAAAGGGGGCAAAAGAGGGCACAGAAAGTGAAGGGGCTAAAGAGGACACAGGAGAAGGGCAAAATAGGACACAGACAGTGAAGTGGGCTAAAGAGTGCACAGAAGGGGAAGGGGGAAAAGAGGGGCTTAAGAGGGCACAGGAGGGGAGCAAATGAGGGCACAAATAGAGAGACACACTGAAGGTTTGGGGGAGAAAGAAATAGAGGGACTGAGGAAGGGGAACAAGAGACACACAGTAGGGCTGGGGAAGGGGAGAATTAGACACACTGGGAGTTGTGAGTATAGAGACACACAGAGGTGCTGGGGCGAAGAAAGAGACAGAGGGGCTGAGGGAGGGAAAACAGAGAAACACAGAAAGGGGCTTTGTAAGAGGACAACGACACAGAGAAGGTCTGAGAAGGGGACAATGACACACAGAGAGCCTGGGTAAGGGAACAGTGACACACAAAGGGGCTGAAGAAGTGGATAATGGCACGCAGAGGAGCTGGGGAGGGGGTAATGTCACACATTGAGAGGCTAGGGACAGGGATGCACAGAGGGTCTGGAGTAGGGGACAGGGACACAGAGTGGCTAGAGAAGGGGACAATGACACACAGAGAGGTTGGTGAAAGGGACAATGACACTGAGGGGAAGGGGACAATGGCACACACACAATGGAGCTGGAGAAGGGGACAATGACACAAAGAGGGGCTGGGGAAGTTGACAATGGTATCTGGGGAGAAGTAAGAGACATATATTGAGCTGGAGGGAAGTAAAACACAAAGGGGAAAATGAAGGATTGAATATAATAAAGGGGGTGTAAGATACACAAAAAGGGGTTAGACATTTAAAAGATGGGATAAGAAACACAAAAGAGGGATTAAGAGACACACAGGGGAAGATATATTTTTTTCTAACAGAAACTCTCTAATGGATACTTAGACCGCCTCTGTTAAAGAGACCGCCCTCCAAGGACCATTATTATTATTAGTACTACTGGCATTTAGAAGGTGCTGTGGAAGTGTTGGGTATGAAATCTGGTACTGTGGGCACATTTTGGTGATGAAGCCAGTGCTCTAAGTGTCATTTAATACTCTGGCAAGTGCTGTGCGTACTCCCTAGTACTGTGGTAATAGCTTTGTGTGATGTTTGGTGATATGGCAAGTGAAATCTGGTACTGTGCTTGCAATCTGGTGCTGTGATGTAAAACGTGCTGTGGGTACAATATGGTGTTGAGGGTACAATCTGGTACTCTAGCTGATGCTGTTCATGCCAACTATTGCTGTTGCCAAATGTAACATCAAATGCAGATTCTACATTTTTATTTTTATAATTCAGTCATGGTGCCTTGACCATGGGTGTATGGCTAATGGGATGCATTGGATAGTGTTAACATTAAAACAGATTAGAAATCGCAATACTCAAATCAGACAATGGCAACTTGATTCTTCTAATAAGATTTTGCAGGTTTCTCAATCTTTTGCATGTCTGCGCTATATGTGATAATGATTATGCCCCTCCCCTTCATGACACTGTCAAAAAGGGGCAGAGCATGGATGTCATTACAGTTATAGAGTAATGTGTGTTGGAATTTATTTTGTTGATTTTAACGCTCCACCTTTTTCTGGTGTGAATAGTGAATTGTACACACTAGTATTGTGTACACAGATATGGACATTGACATGAAAGATAAAGCACCAAAATGGACACTCAATGCACACCCAAACAAATATACTTGCATCTTTTTTTCCCCCTTTTTTTCCTTTTTTCTTTTTAATAAAAAATAAAAAACAAGAAAAACAGGTTATATGTTGACAACAGGCAATGTAATTGTATTTTGTTCTAAGGTGCCACAAATAAGTGTGGCTAATACTGCAACAATACTATTATACCACTTGTATACTGTATGCATTGCACCAACCACATATAAGATTTATAGTTAATATTTATAAGCCCAAAGACAACTGTGATTGGATCTTACTAAAAAACTAATTTGCAAATATTCTCTAAAAGGATAATATAGGCACATAATACCTTTGCCTTAATGAAGCAATTTTGGTTTATAGATCATGACACTGCAGTCACTGCTCAATATTCTGCAATCTGGAGTTAAATCACTTTGTTTATATGGCCCTAGTCACACCTCTGCATGTGACTTGCACAGTCTTCCTAAAGTGTTCTTGCACATTTTGTTTAATTTATAAAAAAAAAAAAAAATTCTCCTGTTCTGTTAATAGCCTTATAGACACTTCTGCCTGTGATTAAAGTTCAATGTACAGAGCAGGAGATAAAACGTCTAAGGCAAATTAACATCTGATTGAAAATGAAAAAAAAAAATTAAATGCAGGCTGTGTGAGTCACAGACAGGGGAGGTATGGGTGGGCTGCAAAAACAGAAAGTGATTTAACTCCAAAATGGCAAATAATTGAACAGAACTGATACTGCAGGGACATAATGTATGCACCAAGACTGCTTTATTAAAATAATATTGTTGTGATGTCTATAGTATCCCGTAATGGTAATAAACACTATATGGATATTACCAAGGACTTACCATATGTTTCATACAATTACAGATATTTGTTAATGCAATCAAGAATTATAAACAGTTAGAAAAAATGTTCAGTGTTGCATCATTGAGATATTTTCTGGGTAATTTAATAGTGCATGAATTTGATCACTGCCTAAGAGTGAATTAGTGGAATAACACATTCTTTGTACTTGTTTCTAATAAACAGAGCTTTCCTTGTACTGCCAAACACCACTTAATATCCAATTTCCTTGTTCCACTGCTTCATAAAGAACCTTATTATGTTAAATAATTTAAGGGGAAGTCTTTATTCTCTGAAAATAAATCTTTAAAATAGAGGGAGAGGGAGATTTGCTAGAGGCTTTACAAGTGCCATGTGAGATGCATACAAAACACAAGAACTCTATCATGTTTCTCCCTGTTTGGTGACAGATAGACTTCAAGAATGCAGTTCAATGATTCTCTTAAATCCATCGTGTAAGATCCTTCATATGACCCACTATTATGTTTTGTCTAGCTGGAGATTATATTACTATAATCCAAAATACATAAAAGGCTTTAAGCAACACATACATCGTTGTTAAGTTTTTGAGACATTTTAAGGGATGCATATTTGAGATCCTCGGGCAGAAAGCCTATTTTGTCAACATGATATGCTAATAATTAAATATTAATTTTTTGATGAAAGGATAAAATGTATCCACATTAGACATCATGTTTTCGGTAATCTGCAGTTTGGTAATATTGCTATACTCAATGCATTCCATTCTACAATTGCTGAGAGTGAGAGAAATATAAATAAATAAATAAATAAAAATATAAATTCAAAAGCAATCAGGCACACAATGAGTGCAGACAGTATTCCTAGTTCTACAATTGATAAGATGGCCAAAAAAGGCACCAATACGTATACTTGAGAAATTAAGCCTGGGGTGGCAACTGGAGGCCAAGAATATAGAATTACCTGAGATGGGTCTCCTTCATTTTAATTTATAATCTCCCCCATGAAAGGGTTTTTCAAACATAGTTCCAAAGAACCATTTTAATATAATTTGAACACATAAAAGTCAAATGAATTTGTTATCATGAAGACTATTCACAAAAATAGCCAGATCTTCCAAGTGGCGTCATTAGGGTTGGTGTCACCCGGTGCGGATACTCACGGTGTCACCCCAAGTTCCTTAATAATGTGTTTTTCAGTTGTTTTTTTAGTAATGTAACTCGTAAATCATAACTCCCATATAACAATAAATGTAATGGCAATAGTGACATTAACAACTTGGAAAATTAAAATGACCTTTAAATTACAACATCCTATGAAAATAATAGAATTTGAGCTGTGGGCACAGCGGCATGATGCATCAGATCCAGAGACATCCAGAGGAGACACCAGGTTAGAGTTTACTAAGTAAAGATCCTGTCTGGCTCATGTCCGTGGTGTCACCCAGGGCCTTTCTTAGGTGTTCAGGCACCTTGTGAGATCCAATCTTGTGGAGCCCCCCCTCCCCACTCTTGCCATCCGTTTCGAGGTGGTACATTCACAATCTGCCGCCTCCACCCCTTCTACAAAACCGTGCCCTCCTTCACCAAACCCCTGCCCCCTTTCATCAAACCCATGGCCACTCCTTCATCAATTCTCTGCCCTCTCCATCAAACCTCTGCCATCCCCTTCATCAAGTCCCCTTCCCCCGTTCATCAAATCCCTAGCTCCCCTTCACCAGTCCCCTGCCCACCAGCACCTGCCCACCAGCACCTTCATCTCCTTTATCAGTCCCCTGCCGCCTTCACCAATCTCCAGCCTCCCTTCACCAGTTCCCAGCTCCTCTTCACCAAACCCCAGTCCCAAGCCCCCTTCACCAGTCCCCTATCCCCTTCACCAGTCCCCAGCCCCCCTTCACCAGTCCCCTTTACCAATCCCTGCCCCTTTCATCAGTCACCCGCTCCTTCACCAGATCACAGCCCCCCTTCACCAGTCCCCTTCCCCCTTTACCAGTCCCCTTTACCAATCCTCTGCACCCTTCATCAAATCCACAGCCCCCCTTCACTAGTCCCCTGCCCCCTTTACCAGTCCCCTTTACCAATCCCCTGCCCCCTTTCACCATTCCCCTTTACCAATCACTAGCCTCCCTTCATCAGTCCCCTGCCCCTTCACCAGTCCACTTTACCAATCCCCTGTCCCCTTCACCAGTCCCATTTACCAATCCTCTGCCCCCCTTCACCAGTCCTCTTTACCAATCCACTGCCTCCCTTTATCAAATCCCCATCCCCCCTTCACTAGTACCCTGCCATCTTCATCAGTCTCTAGCCCCCCTTCAATAAAACACAATCTATTTAGTAAAAAAAAAAAAAAAAAAAGAAAGCAATAAGAACAAGCACTCACAGTGAAGGCTGCTACTCCCTGAATCCAGCTGTCAGTTTCCCAAGCCACCGAGTCGCAACTAAAGAGCACCGGCCGCCGCCCTCACACACACTGAGCGGATTCTTCCGAGGCTCCCTGAGAAGGCGGAGCACATCGACGTCTCACCCCCACACTCCTCCTTCTCCACGCACTGGACCTTTGCATCACCCATATGGATTCCCGGCAGCGGCTCTCTCCTCACCATTCGCAAGTCAAGTGCACAGCAGCACTAAGCACTTGACTTGCTCTGCACTGCAGACACATAACTTGGGCCAGTCTTGGAGTGACCGACTGCGAGTTGTGTCGGCCACTCTGCGCCCCTTTTGCCATGGCGCACTGTGCGGCTTCATAGTTTGCACACACCAAAGGCCAGCCCTGGTGTCACCCCTTTCCTCCCTGTGATGCACACCCTGGTGCGGTTTGCACCTCACGCACCCCCCTCGTGACTGCTATGTTTTCAGCTGCAGGGTTAAAACTAGAGGGACATTGCACCCAGACCACTGTCTGTAGTGGTCCTTTAAGTGTATATGTATCTGCATGCACTGGCGTACTCGCCGCCATGTGTTGCGGTCCCGGCCCGCGCAGAGTAAGCGCGGGGGGGCCCACAAATCAATTTTCGAACTGGGGCCCCATGGGTTGTGTGTATGCCACTGTCTGAGGGCAAACACATTTGCATGATTCGCACAATTAGTACTCCCCATTAAATCACGTCATAGACTTTACAGATAATAACATTAGTAAAAAGGCTAAATATCAATTTCCTTAAAATTTTGAAGCCAAATTTTAATAACATTTATATGTAAAGCTGCAAGACTTATATTCAATTAAACTTCATTTTTTTTCTAGAGTTAAATAGGCAGGTGTATCCTGGTTTTGTGCTGCCCTAGGCAGGACAAAACTCAGGCGCCCCACCCCACCCCACCCTTCCCCCCTGCCTCGCCTTCTAAATACACACACACACATTCACTGACAGATACGCATACACTAGCTAACAGACATACACACACTCACTAACAGACACACACTAACAGACACACACACTAACAGACACACACACACTCACTAACAGACACACACACACACACACACTCACTAACAGACACACACTCACTAACAGACACACACACACACTAACAGACACACACACACTCACTAACAGACACACACAGACACACACACACTCACTCACATTAACACACTCACTAACAGACACACCCAGACACACACACTGACACACAATAACAGACACACACACTCACATTAACACACTCACTTTTTTATTATTTAAACCCCCAGCCTCCTTACCTATGGGAATGCTGGGGGGGAGGGTTCTCCCTCTCCCCGTGGTCTAGTGGGGCTGCTGGGTGGGCGGCGCTGGTGAGGGAGCACTTTCCCATGAGCTGTCTGCTCAGCTCCCTCACACGCCGCAGAGTGATGCCGGTCACCTGGAGCCGGAATATCATATTCCGCCTCCCGCATCACTCTGCTCCCTCGCCAGCGCCGCCCGACCAACCGACCGACCGCCCGTCTGGCTTGTCAGTTAGCTGCAAGGCTAACAAGACATTTGCCCTGGGCATTTGGGGGCGGCTTTTTTTGTCGCCCCCTGGAAAGCTCCGCCCAAGGCTAATGCCTTGTTTGCCTCATGGCTAATATGCCCCTGATGTCACCCCGTTCCTTATATTACCTGTAAACTCAGTATTTTCACAGACATTTTATACGGCCAATGCCCGACCCATTGCACAATGGAATAGAGGGAGGAGGCATTGTGTAACTATTACCTCTGTATATTCAAGGACAACTGTCATCAAATTTCCACTTTTCGTTTTTAAAAGTTCATCATTTTAAAAGTTTAAATGATGTATATTAATTTTATGTCAAGACAGGAGGCTTAATATTTACTCCCTTTACTATATCCTCCCAGCAGCAAAGAAATAGTTAACAGTTTGAGCAAGAACAACCAATCAGAACACATCTAGTCAGTGAAATGTGGCTGTGAGACTCCTCCCAACTCCTCTTTCTTTGCTGCTTGCCTCCCAGGTGAGTCAATTCTGATTATACAGGACTTTGACCATAGGTTTCTGTATATTTATATGTATGTATTACAATTTACACTTTGTCTCTTTTATTTTTATTACCCCATATGGTTTGATTATATTTTGGCTTATTTTATTTTGGTCTCTACCCTTGGGGCCAACCTTTGTCGGCCCACAGGGCCTTGGTCCTCATTTGGGATCCCCACAGCATCTTTTGTGTTCCCACTGGGTGTTTTTCCTACTCCGCTATTACCACCCATGGTCTTTTGCTGACCGCGACCTAGCAGCAGTTGTGTTTACCTTGCTTTTCACTCCTTCTCACAGAATAATAGTGCTCTGTTGTGACTCCATTTTTTTCGTTTTCCTACGGTTTCAGTGATGCGCGTGGTCTCCGCCTGTGCTCTAATGCCGGTGGCCATCTTAGAGTGCGGCAGTTTATCTTACCGGCGGTTCTTATTCTGCCTGACAACTTGCCTGATAAGAGTGGTTTCCCTGCAATCTGTTGTCTCATTATTAAACCCAAACAATATATCTGCCACAAGGGTGACCCCCTTGATTATAACAGGTGACCCCTGTTTTTTTGCTGCAGCGGTATATTGCTTTCCGCTTGTTTGCTTCTGCTTTTGTAATATTGGTATTATTTTTTGTTACATAAAACCATGGGTGACCCCCACTTATTACTGCATTTTTGGACCTTAACTTTAAAGGGTGATCCCCTTTTATGCCTGGGTGATACAGGACTTTGACCATAGGTTATTATCACAGAGTGACCCCCTGCTGCATCCTCACAGGGTGACCCCCTGTTGTATCACTAATTTACTTTTCACTTGTTAATTAGTTATATCACATGAGCCTAATGTCTGGACAACCAGACTTTACTGTTTCTGCTCAGCTCAAATCTTGGCTCTTCTCAGCAATAGCGGAATGGATGCCCAAGGCTATTGCAGCTTATCATGAACAAGCTAAACCTGTGTCCAAGCCACATGTTGCGCTGAATATTTCCGACTATGATGAGTCTCATAATGATTCTGACCATGACGGGGTCCTGCGCAAGCGTCCCTGGAAAGGCAACAGTGCCCCAGCCAGTAAAGGCAAGGCACCAGCCAAAAATCCCAGATTGTCTTATTCCTCCATGAGCCATCCCATACTCGACCCCTTGGAGGCTTCAACATCGCATCACAACCTGCAAGTCGTGAATGAGTACTGCGCAGGGTACTCTGATGAGGAAGACCAAAGCAATACTCCTTATATCAAGGAGTACTTTGTTAATTAACCGTTGGTGCAGACCCCTGTTAATCCTTCCCAAAACAAGGATCAACCACCAGACATCATGTTGGATGCTAGTTGCCAGCCCCTGATTGATCATCCTATGATCATCAAACATCCCCGCTCTGCTGAATATGCACCACTGGACCATATAGCCCAATTCTGCAGACTGCGGCTCCGGAAACCTCTAGAGAAAGAGATTTGAAACAAACTACAGGCAGAATGCCCTCATCCTACGATACCAGATAAGGTGGCTCTAACGCCCTAGTTTGCTCCTCTCTTAATTACATTCCTCACTAAATCGGGTAAAGATCCCCGCAAGGGCCTGGAACATGGCCTAAAAACGGTCCATTGGACATTGCTGGCCCCATTATTTAGATTTTTATTTTGGTGGACGAAGCCATCGCTGAAGGTACCTTGGATCCACCTTTGGTACGTGAATGGGCGCAAAGAGCCCTATGTCTTCTTGGGAATGCGAATTTAAATGTCCACGGAGCGACGAAAAGCTGCTCTAAAGAACTTGGTCCGGAGGCTAGTGGCCTATTGTTTGCTGATCAGTTCATACGGGACCTCAACAGGAACATCTCTGTTTTCACCTTGTTGAATAAGGCTCAGACATCTCTCCGCAGAGTGTTTCACTCAAATTGTTTTTCCAGCTGAGCTGGTCACCATAGAGGCCGAGCTACCAGCAGATCTGCCTTCACAGGTTACAGTCCTCGCCCAACTGAGCCTTGGAACTCAGGTTATACCCGCCCCTATCACAGACAGCTGTTCACCAATAGAGGATCGATCAGAGGACTTGGGTCTGTTTCTCTCTGGGGTCGCTCTGCTCAAGGTAATGCACCTATTTTCTAGTAGATATTTCAGGCCGTCTAACCCGTTTTTTACCACAGTGGTCTCTTCTCACTCAGTATCCTCGTATCCTTCAGACTGTTTCAGGTTTTCTCATAGACTTCACCACCGACCCTATACAAGATTTCCTCCTCCCCCTCTACGGATGTCTGAACCGGACACAGTCATACTTCATGCAAAACTCTGCCAGCTAAGAGACAAGAGTGCAATCGTACCCTCACCATTCCCTTCCAGGTTTTTCAGCAGTTTATCTTACCGGCGGTTCTTATTCTGCCTGACAACTTGCCTGATAAGAGTGGTTTCCCTGCAATCTGTTGTCTCATTATTAAACCCAAACAATATATCTGCCACAAGGGTGACCCCCTTGATTATAACAGGTGACCCCTGTTTTTTTGCTGCAGCGGTATATTGCTTTCCGCTTGTTTGCTTCTGCTTTTGTAATATTGGTATTATTTTTTGTTACATAAAACCATGGGTGACCCCCACTTATTACTGCATTTTTGGACCTTAACTTTAAAGGGTGATCCCCTTTTATGCCTGGGTGATACAGGACTTTGACCATAGGTTATTATCACAGAGTGACCCCCTGCTGCATCCTCACAGGGTGACCCCCTGTTGTATCACTAATTTACTTTTCACTTGTTAATTAGTTATATCACATGAGCCTAATGTCTGGACAACCAGACTTTACTGTTTCTGCTCAGCTCAAATCTTGGCTCTTCTCAGCAATAGCGGAATGGATGCCCAAGGCTATTGCAGCTTATCATGAACAAGCTAAACCTGTGTCCAAGCCACATGTTGCGCTGAATATTTCCGACTATGATGAGTCTCATAATGATTCTGACCATGACGGGGTCCTGCGCAAGCGTCCCTGGAAAAGCAACAGTGCCCCAGCCAGTAAAGGCAAGGCACCAGCCAAAAATCCCAGATTGTCTTATTCCTCCATGAGCCATCCCATACTCGACCCCTTGGAGGCTTCAACATCGCATCACAACCTGCAAGTCGTGAATGAGTACTGCGCAGGGTACTCTGATGAGGAAGACCAAAGCAATACTCCTTATATCAAGGAGTACTTTGTTAATTAACCGTTGGTGCAGACCCCTGTTAATCCTTCCCAAAACAAGGATCAACCACCAGACATCATGTTGGATGCTAGTTGCCAGCCCCTGATTGATCATCCTATGATCATCAAACATCCCCGCTCTGCTGAATATGCACCACTGGACCATATAGCCCAATTCTGCAGACTGCGGCTCCGGAAACCTCTAGAGAAAGAGATTTGAAACAAACTACAGGCAGAATGCCCTCATCCTACGATACCAGATAAGGTGGCTCTAACGCCCTAGTTTGCTCCTCTCTTAATTACATTCCTCACTAAATCGGGTAAAGATCCCCGCAAGGGCCTGGAACATGGCCTAAAAACGGTCCATTGGACATTGCTGGCCCCATTATTTAGATTTTTATTTTGGTGGACGAAGCCATCGCTGAAGGTACCTTGGATCCACCTTTGGTACGTGAATGGGCGCAAAGAGCCCTATGTCTTCTTGGGAATGCGAATTTAAATGTCCACGGAGCGACGAAAAGCTGCTCTAAAGAACTTGGTCCGGAGGCTAGTGGCCTATTGTTTGCTGATCAGTTCATACGGGACCTCAACAGGAACATCTCTGTTTTCACCTTGTTGAATAAGGCTCAGACATCTCTCCGCAGAGTGTTTCACTCAAATTGTTTTTCCAGCTGAGCTGGTCACCATAGAGGCCGAGCTACCAGCAGATCTGCCTTCACAGGTTACAGTCCTCGCCCAACTGAGCCTTGGAACTCAGGTTATACCCGCCCCTATCACAGACAGCTGTTCACCAATAGAGGATCGATCAGAGGACTTGGGTCTGTTTCTCTCTGGGGTCGCTCTGCTCAAGGTAATGCACCTATTTTCTAGTAGATATTTCAGGCCGTCTAACCCGTTTTTTACCACAGTGGTCTCTTCTCACTCAGTATCCTCGTATCCTTCAGACTGTTTCAGGTTTTCTCATAGACTTCACCACCGACCCTATACAAGATTTCCTCCTCCCCCTCTACGGATGTCTGAACCGGACACAGTCATACTTCATGCAAAACTCTGCCAGCTAAGAGACAAGAGTGCAATCGTACCCTCACCATTCCCTTCCAGGTTTTTCAGCAACATCTTCCTAGTTCGGAAGAAGTTAAGTGACTTTTGCCCGGTCATCAACTTGAGATGTTTGAATCAGTTCATAGTGTATCGACATTTCAAAATGGAAGGCATACACCTGCTCCAGGACCTGCTTTGCGAGGGAGATTTGTTCTCTCGTTTGGATCTCAGGGATGCCTACCTTACAGTGCCGGTAGCGCCCTGTCACCATCCTTTCTTCCAGTTCATATGGCACCAAGAGCTTTGGCAGTTCACTTACCTCCCTTTTGGTCTCTCATCTGCCCCTTGGTGTTTCACCAAATTAATGAATCCAGTTATGGCCTTTCTCCGGTCCCAAGGCATCAGGTCTATCGTCTACGTAGACCACATATTAATCATGGCGCAGGACCCCCATACTCTTCGGACACATACAGATCTGACCAAATTTCTTGTACAAAACCTTGGTTTTGTAATCAATTTAGAATAATCCTCACTAATACCATCTCAGTCCATCCTTTTCCTAGGATTTCAGATCGACTCCGTTCTGTCAATCCTTCAACTCCCGATGTTAAAGATAAAAGCCACCAAAAGGGACATTCGAAGACTATTGTCCTCCCATCATGTACTCCTTCGCGATTTAGTGCAAATAATAGGACTCCTGTCCATTCAGGCTATTTTCCCCGGTCCCTTACATTACAGGGCGATGCAACGCCTCAAGACGTGGTATCTTTGCAGATCCCAGTCTTACGACCAACCAATCTTCCTTACAGACGAGGTCTGTAGAGTTAGATTGGTGGCTCCAAAATATTGAAGCCTGGAATGGGAAAGCTATATTCGGGTGCCAACCCGATTTTGTCCTCGAGACCTATGCCAGTCTCCTAGGTTGGAGGTCCACCTGCTCTCTCGACCCGGTCAGAACGCACAACGCACATCAATTGCCTAGAGCTGATGGTGGGTGCCTTTGCGATTCGCAGTTTAGCCAAGGACGCTTACAACTGCTCTTTGATTCTCACAATGGACAAAGTTTCCGCTGTCCGTTATGTCAGTCGTCTTGGAGGCTCTCGTTTACAGCTCCTGTCAGACTTTACCAAGGAATTCTACCAGTTCTGTCTAGGGAGGAATATCTCTCTTTCAGTGGAATATCTTCCTGGGTCGGACAACCTTGTGGCGGACTAGTTAACCTGTTACTGGAGGGACGCCAGCGATTGGCACCTAGACCAGGGTGTCTTCCATCATCTACATGGGCTTCGCGGGCCCATCACATTGGATTTGTTTGCCTCCAATTGAACCGTCAGACAGACGCCTTTTTCAGTTGGTTACTGGACCCGATGTCTCAAGCCGTTGACGCCTTCCTACAACCTTGACCGTCGACAGGAGCTTATGCGTTTCCACCTTTTTCCATAATTCCTCGCACTCTCCATTGCCTCAAGGTTCTGGGAGTCACGGTCCTGTTAATAACTCCTCTCTGGAGAGCCCGACCTTGATATCCCAATCTTCTAGAAATGTCCGCAGATTACCCTCTGCTTCTGCCTCTCGCTCCGGAGCTTTTTATTCTCTTGCCGCCCAGGGATGTCTTCAGCTGTTAGCCTGGACTGTTTAAGGGGATCCTAGTATGTCTAGGGACTTTCGGACTCTGCTCGGAGTCTCCTCTGGGATTCATGGGCCCCAGGAACCCGCAGATCTTACCTTTCAGCATTGAAATCCTGGGTTCACTGGTGTTTGGAAAGGGATATGGATCAATTTTCAACGACTCTGGTGAATATCATGAATATCCTGTCTTCTCTTTTTGACAGTGGCAAGTCTTACCATACGATAAACGTTTTTCGTTCTGCTATTTCAGCGGCTCATTGTCCGATTGATGCGGTTTCTGTCAGACAACACCCATCTGTGTGCAGGCTCCTATGAGGTATCCACCTTTCCCAACCTCCTGACCCTTGTTATACCCATTTTTGAGATGTTGTACAGGTCTTGTCCAATTTTTAACTTATTATGTACCTATATATACTCCTATCAGCAAGGTTTTTAATGTTATCCCATTTTGAAAAAGCCCCAGTGGCAAAACGCGTAAATGGTTTTATTAATTGTTTATTTTATATATTAAAGATTTTCTGGTTACTATCTGTGCCAACTATCTTTTTACACACTTTTTCACTTTTACCTGGCATCTAATCAATTTTACCGCGTGCTTACAAGCCTATCCGAGGTGGGGATCATACCACCAACGCTGTTACCATAGTGCAGTAGGCTTGCACTA